TATTTAGGGTCTCACTATTGTGCTCAGACTCATAGTGATCCTCCTGCCTTTGAAAAAGTAACAGACACATCTACCTAGGATCAAAGTCAAGAAGTCTTAATCGCATGGTGATTAGTCTTAATTGCATAATGACAATTTTATATTTGTGCAAGTAGCATTTTGGTTCAAGTGAAACACCTGGATGTTTGAGAACACTTCTGTTTTATTAATTACCAAAACTTGATTCTGAGTTTTAGTAATTGTTTCCTATAACTTGGAGATCCAAGCTTTAAATGAAGTGAGTTGACTGATTTTTCACATGGAGTTTTTCTATCTACCTTTCAGCACTTGCTGACCTTTGTCTTCTAGTAGACTGTCCCGACTACACAATAGCAATCCCAGCTTAACTCACAAATTTTACAGGACTTACCTCAGGGTTGGTCACTGACTTGTTTGGATTATGAGTAGGAGAGAAGGGATTCATCATCAGAGGAGAATCAGGCTGTGTTAACAGAAGAAGGAGAAAATGTGGGATAGGAAAAAAAAAGTTAATATTGAACATGGATTTTCAGTTTATTTATGTAATTCTTTGTAGTCAGCCTTTTCATCCACATTAATAAAATTATACAACCTAGAAGAATGAAATGGTGATACTTAACAATTTATTTTTCTTATTAAAGGCCCAAGGAGGTGATAGTATTTGGCAGAGATTGAAAAGAATAGTATTTGATGCTAAATCTACTGTTGTGGTAAGTTTGACAGTATGTGTAGTGTCATTGGTAATTTTAAATGTATGGGGTTCTTTAGTGTATTGTAATGGAGGTACAGTCTAAGCCAGTGATGGTGAATCTTTTAACGACTAAGAGCCAAACTGCAACCCCAAAACCACTTATTTATCAGAGTGCCAAAACTGCAGTTATACCTGAAAACTAAAGTTACAGTGTAGAAAAAGCAGCTCTACATTGACATATTTTGTTTTAAAAGAACTCAGTAACATACATGCCATAGGTTCACCATAAATGATCTAGACTTTCAAAGGTTTGGGTCAAAATATGTGTTTAGTCCTTTAAGAAAGTATGCATCAAGTGGAAATTGTTATTCTATTTCTGTATGATTGGTGAATTATTGGAATTCGGAATCATTTAACTTGATAGTTATAAAAAAATAACTTTATTTGTATAAGAGTGTTGTTAGTTCTGTAACTTGATATAAGTATAGATAATAGAACTTTTTTATTTTATAGAAAAATTTTAGTATCACTGATTTGGGTCATTTTTGTTGAGGGCTCATGTACATAAATACAACTTTATTCTTTTTTTAATCTCTTTCCCATTCCTCTCTCTCTTTTATCCCTCTAAATTCTCTTTCCCCATTTTCTTTCTTGTTGTTATTAGTCTTTGACAAAGATTTTAATGTACTTGGTACAGGGTCTAACTCTGCAGCATGGATTCATAGTGATCCTCCTGTTTTCAGCCTCCCCAGCACTGGGATTACAGGCGTATGCCACTATGCCTGGTCTCATGGCTTATCTTCGCTCCACTTATTTCCCTTTCCCTTCCGCCTGTCCTCTCATCCATGTTTTCTTCGGCTCTTGTGTTCTTTCTTTGTACTTTTGTCTTACTCATATAGAGATATTTGATATTTAAGCTTGTGTGTCTGATTTATGTCACTTAATGTTATATTTTCTAGGGGGATCCATTTTCCTACAGATGTCTCCAATTTGTTTAAGCCAATCAGTATTCCATTATGCACAGATACCCCATTTTCTTTATCTGGTCATCTTGATATATGCACAGAGGCTAGGATTTGACTATTATGAATTATGTAGCTATAAACATTAATATGCGTGCATCACTAGTGTGATTTATGTTTAGGAGAAGATACCTCAAGGATAGCTGTATCATGGAATTCTTAATTTTAGGATTAAAAATTTTAATTTTAGATTTGGAATATTCTAAGAAATTGTTTTTAGTCTTTCAGTTTAGCTCTCAAACATCTTCACAGTAGAGGCATTCTTGAATTTGTTTGAACCCTTATCTTAGTTTCAGTTGTTTATCATGAGCTACCCCATCAACAGTTTTGTTTCTTAGACTGAAAGCAATCATAAAGATATAGCTAGTTTTCTTAATTGATAAGAAGTAAACAATAATCTTTGACTTGTCTCATGAAGGCATCCTTCAATTTTTAGTGCCTTTTACCAGCCTCATTGCCTGGACCCTGACCACAAATCGTTGTCTATTTGCTGTTCCTGCTGTTACATGGGTTGCATATTTCTTAGGCCTCCAGTTGATTCTGTGTACCACTACACAATTAACATTACTAAAGTTAGCAGATTTTCTCACTTCCCTTTGCTTTTCCAGTGATGCACACCAGAATACTCTATCCATCAGGAAACATTTTTCACTGCTTTTTAGTATTTTGTTAGAGTTCTGGAGCTAATTGCTAGTGCTTATATTACATCTTGTTCTACCTCTTACTTGCTGGTTTCTGAATTTCTACAATAGGCTGTGTGATTGTTTTGTGAAGCTAAAATGTCTTTTTCTCCTCTGAAGTTATTTATATTGTTCTCAGATGTTGCAGGTACTTTATTCAATAAAATTAAAAACATTTTTACTTTCTTAGAAGCTGAGGGAATATTGTATAAAAATGATTGAAATTAGTGGGCTTTGTTACTAACAAGTAAAAAATATAAAAAATGCTATGTGAAGATAGTATGTATGTATAAAACCTAGTCTTCTCCATTAATTGATTCCTATACTTCTACAAACATATCAAAAGCTATTGGGCTCACAGTAACCATCTTAGAGACCATGATTAGTGTGAAAAAAAATAAATGTCTTTAGAAAAGAATTAGTTTTCTGCTGCTGCAAATAGCTGGTTCTGTACATATACACTCAAGCAACACAAGTGCACATACACACCTGCACACGTGGAAATAGAGTTTGTGTCTTCTACAGTGACTTTAACTTGGGAGTTGTAGCTCATATATTGACATTTATTCACTGGAACTAAAAATAATAATAACTCTGTAGTGATTTTAAATTTATTGTATGCTTTTAATATCAAAATTGCTTTCAGGATAACTGAATTTTAATTACCCTTCTACAGTCTATATTCAAGAGCTCACCTCTCATGGGCTGCTTCCTCTTTGGCTTGCCGTTGGGTGTCATCAGTATCATGTGCTATGGAATCTACACAGCTGACACAGATGGAGGTTACATAGAAGAACGATATGAAGTAGTATCTAAAAGTGAAATGGAAGCTCAACAACAAATAGAAAGCAAAGAACAACAGGAACCGAGGCGGGGAGAATCTTTAGTGCCTACAGTGCAAGAACCCAAGGATGTATTAGAAAAGAAGACAGACTGAGACTTTGTAAGCATAAAATATTTGATAGCGTTTCAAATTATTAAAGTCTATTTATTGAATTTAAGAGATTTAACTATAATATTTACAGAAGAAAACATGTTATTTGTATTTTGCTAATATCAACTGCATGGGTTAAAGTACTCTTTCCATAAATGTGGAGATGTTTGGAGCAAAGAGATGAACAATTTGTGGAAAACAAAACCAAATCACTCCATCAGGGTTTCCCTAGTGTTATTATATAACAGATTAGTTCTATTTGCATGTTTCTCTGTCTGAACATTCTGTGGCAGAGTTAATATTTTGAGCCAGAATATTTAAATTGGCCAGTCAGCTAGAAGATACATGTTTGATATAGAAAAACAATACTTCCACTGCCTACCTTCCATTCTCATATATTTTGGCTAAGATTTATATGGAAAAAAATGAAGTCTTTAAAGTGTAGGCACTTTAAGGAGATCTTGGAAATTTTTCCATTTATCAGAATAAGGTTATAAGGTTAAAATACTGTATTGTGGTTTTATATAGCATAGTGACTTTATTTTATTAGTTATTTTTAAAAGAGAGAAAATGTTACTTTTTAACTTTTTACTCAGTTGCATTACTATAGAATTTTCATATGGGCCTGTATAGTCAGGGAAAAAGTTTTGTGATTGACCTTTGTAAAGTAACCAGGATGTACAGGAAACAGTGGCTTCAGCTCATGGTCTAGGAGTACTCTTTAACCAGATTTCTCATTGATCATTGCAGGAAGGAAACATCTCTGTTAATCCTACCTTGCTTTAGCCAAAGCAGCCAAGTTGTTTTTGTTCGTTTCATTTTTATTTGACATATTGAAATTTCTTCTGAACTTTCCCTTGATGAAAGAAAGCATTTGCATTTTGAAAGGTAGTGTATATCATATTTTTGTTAATGGCATATAAACTCTATAATAAATAAGTCCAAAATGTATATGTATTTGCACATAAGAAATTTATCATCACATATCTCTTAACTACTGCCATGGCATGTTTGAGCTCATAGTGATTGATAAGTCATAAAATCAGCACATCAAATGTCAAACATTACATCCAATCAAGGGAACAGGTTGGTGTATTTATTATGGATTTTTTTTAAGACTTCATATTTGATAACTTATTCAGGTAGCTATTCCTTGAGTAATGTAGTTACCCATTGTAAAGAATTTTATTGAGTATTTAAAAATGTTTAGTCAATTTAAAACTATGTAATTTATGGTCTTGACACTGAAGTTATTTAGGGCTTAGTTGCCCAGGGCAGCTTTTGGTTCTTTCTGATGCCATACTAATCAAGTCAATCCTGAAACTATTGTATTTAAGTGCTAAAGAATCACTAATAATTACTTCATCATGTCCATATACTCATATTTAATAATTAAATATCCATTCTTAATATTTGACCTTTTCCCATCATTAATTTTTTTTTTTTTTAACCTGGGATTGAACTCAGGCCCTTGTGCTTACCGGGAAAGCGCTTATTCCACTAAGCCATCTCCTTGGCCCCCCATCATTAATTTTAATGAAACAAATATGAAGCACAGAGAAGTCCAGTAGAATGAGATGTTCTCAAATGAAAACTGTTAAATATGGTTAATTTTACAAGTAGATTTCTCCTCAAAAAATAATGACAAATTTGGGAAGAACTATATTAATATTTCAGGTGTTCAAGCTTGTCTTATAGTAGGATAAGGTTTGGAAAATAGAAATTCTTCAAGACTCACTTACTACTTTATTTTTCCTTGCAAAGGAAAAGCCCAAGTATAGCAGATGAATGGGCATATGTTGAGGAGAGATATACTCAGAGAAAAGGCTATTCACTAGGTATTAAAAAATAGTTGCAGAAAATGCATTTGGTTTTTTTCCCTTCACATTTATCACTGTCAGTTTTTAGTTTGCATGTTTTGTCTTATCATTCATAACTTGTAAATAAGAATTCAGTGGGAAAAAAGTAAAACTCAGTATGTTCAGTAAACACGAAAACCCACCAGCTATCCTTTGTATCCTTTAATACTCTTCTAAATAAATGAATCCCTTGTTCTCTGTTAACCTTTGCACAAACTCTGTACTTTTGCCTCAGGTTGTTTGTACACTTAAAGTATGTTTCTTGGAAAAATAAAATGTATAGTTGGTTTATAAGTGAATAACTTTATTTCTTCCGTTTGTATTAAAATTATGCTTTTTAATTGTTTCTGTTTTGGATTTTTTTTTTTTTTTGCATTGTCAGATTGTTAACACATTTTTACAACCCATTATTATGTTTTCCTTTAAGTGTCTTAGCAGAGATTTACTCTGAATTCACTTTTCATGGAAAATTACTTCAAAATAAAGGCAGAAATCTCAAGGTTTCAGAGGAATATTATGCTAAGGTAGTGATGAAGCTTATGATCAGTATTGGGATCCTTTAGGAATTTCGAGCTCTATTTTTTTTTATTTGCAACAAAATACTTTCTAAAATTCAGAATTATCTTTATTGTTGCTTGAATCTGGTACTCAGATATTTGATGGTATTTCACAGAGAAAGCTTTGTACCGTATGATAGAGTACATGCTTCTCATTGTATGTGTCAGTATTTTTCTAGCTGTTACCTTAAATTTGTTTCGGGCATGTTAGATGTAGAATTTTCATTTTCCTTCTTAAATGTGGTGCTTCCTGGTATCTGGTTTGGACATAACATTAAGATGCCAAATGTTTGCACATTGAATTAATGGTCTGTGTGAGTAGTTAACACATGTATTGTTTCTTTTTGTTGCATTATGTAAATGAATTTCTTGGATTTGGGAACTAATTTGGTTGTAGTTTTGGTTTTGCAAAAGATAATTTAAATATTTCATAGTTGATTCATATGATGTGGTAGGATGGAAAAAAATCATTCAGTTTTTATTATGCAGAAATCGTTCAAGTAAACCATTTTTAATATTGAGGCTATCAGTTGATGGGACTAGGTTTATCGTTTTTATTTTTACAAATATATATTTTTTCCAAATGTGTCTGAGTCCAAGCATGGGCAAAAAATAATTTTCTACTTTGGGATAATGTATAAAGTTTTTAAGAAGTGTATTACTTGTGGAATTCATGATACCCTGCCTTAGGGCATCAGTTGTAAACCTTTGTTTTTCTAAAATAAAGTAATTCAAAATGTAGCAAGTTTATGTTATCTTTGTTGTGTGTGTTTAGATTTGGCTGTATGAATAGTACTCCATAAGCAAAGACAACAGCTAATGGGTCAACAGACCCAGTAACTCTGCCAGCTGTTCATTATGAGATACTTTTAAATTTTAAGTAGACTTGGTAGTGATCAGATTGTAATTAATTCCATTATGAATTAAGAACGTGAAATTCATAGGCTTTGAGGGGCTGGGGAGATGGCTTAGTGGAATAAGAGCTTCCCTGGCAAGCGCAAGGGCCTGAGTCAATTCCCGGTTCCACTAAAAAAAAAAAAAAGCTTTGAGAAATTTGAACTTGTGCAAACTCTGATGAACACTTTTTTTCTGAAAGGGTGCTTCACACTTTTTATAGAGTTTAAAGTTAACATAACTCTTTGAATCCTTAAACTGCTAAGTATGATCCTGTACATAATTGAAATTTGGGCTAGAGATATAAACTGGTAGGGCTTTGTGCAAGGCCTAGTTTTGATGTCCATCACTGCCAATAAAGAAAAAAGTTTTGTTGTTGTTTGTTTGTTTGTTTTTTAAAGAGGATCAAGTTGTAAAAGTATATGATGAAAACACAAAGTTTCATATAATGTTAATTTTTAAATGTATTTTATATGGAGATCATGTGTCGTAATGGAAATAACTAGCATAAGAATAGTAGTCCAAGCAAAAAGCAAACTTACCATCTTAGGACCTTGTGCTGACTGGCTAGTTAGAATAAGCCTCTTCTGACATGAAAAATAAAGCTTGTTTACCTGTTCACAAACTATGGGAGCATATCCGACCCTCATAGTATCAGTAAGTGGCCATGATGCATGGTGTGGATAAGGCTGTGATGTCAATGTCCAGTTGAAACTTGCTCCATTTACCCTTGAGTTTGGGTTGATCACTTTAACCTATTTCCTGAGTTGACTATGGTTGGAGGACAGTAGCACCTACTAGGTTGGATTTTAAAGATTAAAATATATTTGGAACATTGGCTGACACATAGTTACATTGTATCAGTCTTAATTGGTTTCTTCATTTGGAGTTGATACTGTTTATTGCAGACAAATGCCGTGTTGGAATTATGAAATCCTAATGTATAAATTTCTTGGCTGCTTTCTGCCGATATACATTAAATATTTGGACAGAAATCTCACAAAATTATTTCTTTGATGTTGAAATTAATAATAAATATTTAAACATTTCTAGAAATTTACTGGTTTTTCTTTTAGTGAGAATGAATAAAGGTTTAAGTGTCCAATAGAATTATTGATACATGTGAATATTTATATATGTGTTTTAGGCAGATTTAGGATATTCAGTAGAGATGGGAAAATTATTTTCCTGCAACTACTCCTGACCGGTAGTCAACTTCAGCTTTTTCTGAACTTATTTTCCTATAAGTTACAATGTATTTTATAGGAAATAAACTGCTAAAAAAGTGAGAATTATTTTCATGTGCATTTTTTTTTATGTTGATGTGTCTTCTTTGTACGACTTAGATTACAGCAGTAAAACACAAGCATGCCTTAAGTCATTTTAAGCTACTTTACAGTAATTGGCAATTTTTTTTCTTAAAATGCTCAATTGACAAGTTTTCTGTTTTTATTAGTTTCCCTTCTCATGCAATCTATTACTCAACATAAAAGCATTATTTCTGGGGATATAGCTCAGCAGTGTAAGCACCTGCCTGGCAAGCACAAGGTCCTGAGTTTGATCCCTGGTATCACAAAAGTAAATAAAAATTAAAAAAAAAAAATATAAAGGTTAAAAACAAATCAGCATTTTTTAAAAAATATGGCCCAATACAATGTAACGAGTATCAGCATTTCAAGTACACAATCTACTCAGTGAACATTCACGGTGTGTGTGGGAAGCTTCAATTTTGAAACACTTTTATACCCAAAGGTTAGTGTGATTCAATAATGGCATGCAACCACTTACTATGAAGTAAGTTTACTGGTAGTAACTTTATGAAATTTACTCCCGATATTTGATGTTGCAAACTTTAGGGTCTTTGAGATATGTAGGATCCTTGTACGTAACTGGCATAAAGCCATTAATTGAACTATCTTAATAGCTTTTGAAATTTCTTTGTTTCTTCCCACAAAGACCTGTTATGTGCCTTCCACGAATGCAGCCAATATATGGAGAAATAAACTGGGACAAAAGCTGTATGTTCTTATAATCCACACATTTCCCACACAGGGTACCTGTCTTAAGAGGTTCCTTATAAGGGTTTTCCATTGCAGCAGGCAGGTTTTCATTGCTGGTTACCTGTTTATACTGTGAACAACCACTTCTCCATAGCATTGCGTGTATTTCAGGATCCATGAGGCAGACGACAGCTGTCATCCTGTGTGTCAGCTTCTTCCTTCCTAGACCATGGCACACAGCGCCCATAGCATCCTTGGTTTCCATTCCTCTTTTTCCTTTCTTTCCTCTAAATCCTCAACAAAAGCATTGTTAGGGTCTTTGGGAGAGAGGATTAGTGGCCAGGGTGAAACAACATGCCAGTTTATGGCGGCACCAAAGATGAAGATAATAGGGAAATTAAGGCATTCACAGGAAGAATTCACCAAAAGGAGTATCTGAAGAGTCTGTGAACTGGTAGGCTCCCACACTGAAAATAAGCATAACCTAGATGACCTGATACCATTTTCTCTCAGACTATCCTGTGAGTCTGTCATTGTAAGCACTAAAGCCACCCTGTATGACACTGATGGCAAACTTTTAGAGACAAGTACCCAACCCGCACCTGAAAACATTTATTGCAAAGCGTCAACATTGTAGTTAAACCTGAATACAGTAACATCTTTTTGTCTCAAAAATAACACATGAACATTAGGTTCACCATTACTGCTCTTCGCTCATGCACACAACAGTCCCTTGTCTTCACAACAGAAAAGTCCAAAAAGGTTTTAGTCAACTCTAGACCGTGGCAAATATGGATATCACTCTCTAAATTTGTTGTATTCATCTGAAGAAGTTATGGTAGAAACATTATTTCTCCAGATTTACGCATGATTATTTTTCAGTTTTGTCCCTATAAGTGATGGTAGTCACTTACTGATCTATATAACAGTGGTTTTCATCCATCAGAATTATTTGATATATCAGTTTCTGAACATGTTTGATACTGTCACTGGAAATTACTTTCCTAACCAAGAAACCTAGTCAAAAGTATAATTTTAAAGACTCATAGTTAACATTGTGAGATTC